CACTGTGTACCTGAGTGACATCAGTGTGTACCTGTGTGACATCAGTGTGTACCTGAGTGACATCACTTTGTACAATGTGACATCACTGTGTACCTCTGTGACATCACTTTGTACCTCTGTGACATCACTGTGTACCTGAGTGACATCACTGTGTACCTGTGTGACATCAGTGTGTACCTGAGTGACATCACTTTGTACAGTGTGACATCACTGTGTACCTGTGTGACATCACTGTGTACCTCTGTGACATCACTTTGTACCTCTGTGACATCACTGTGTACCTGTGTGACATCACTGTGTACCTCTGTGACATCACTGTGTACCTGTGTGACATCACTGTGTACCTCTGTGACATCACTGTGTACCTGAGTGACATCACTGTGTACCTCTGTGACATCACTGTGTACCTGAGTGACATCACTGTGTACCTCTGTGACATCACTGTGTACCTGAGTGACATCACTGTGTACCTCTGTGACATCACTGTGTACCTGTGTGACATCATGACCTCTGTGACATCACTGTGTACCTCTGTGACATCACTGTGTACCTCTGTGACATCACTGTGTACCTCTGTGACATCACTGTGTACCTCTGTGACATCACTGTGTACCTCTGTGACATCACTTTGTACCTCTGTGACATCACTGTGTACCTGTGTGACATCACTGTGTACCTCTGTGACATCACTGTGTACCTGAGTGACATCACTTTGTACCTCTGTGACATCACTGTGTACCTGTGTGACATCACTGTGTACCTCTGTGACATCACTGTGTACCTGTGTGACATCACTGTGTACCTCTGTGACATCACTGTGTACCTGAGTGACATCACTGTGTACCTCTGTGACATCACTGTGTACCTGTGTGACATCAGTGTGTACCTGAGTGACATCACTTTGTACAGTGTGACATCACTGTGTACCTGTGTGACATCACTGTGTACCTCTGTGACATCACTTTGTACCTCTGTGACATCACTGTGTACCTGTGTGACATCACTGTGTACCTCTGTGACATCACTGTGTACCTGTGTGACATCACTGTGTACCTCTGTGACATCACTGTGTACCTGAGTGACATCACTGTGTACCTCTGTGACATCACTGTGTACCTGAGTGACATCACTGTGTACCTCTGTGACATCACTGTGTACCTGAGTGACATCACTGTGTACCTCTGTGACATCACTGTGTACCTGTGTGACATCACTGTGTACCTCTGTGACATCACTGTGTACCTCTGTGACATCACTGTGTACCTCTGTGACATCACTGTGTACCTCTGTGACATCACTGTGTACCTCTGTGACATCACTGTGTACCTCTGTGACATCACTTTGTACCTCTGTGACATCACTGTGTACCTGTGTGACATCACTGTGTACCTGTGTGACATCACTGTGTACCTGAGTGACATCACTTTGTACCTCTGTGACATCACTGTGTACCTGTGTGACATCACTGTGTACCTCTGTGACATCACTGTGTACCTGTGTGACATCACTGTGTACCTCTGTGACATCACTGTGTACCTGAGTGACATCACTGTGTACCTCTGTGACATCACTGTGTACCTGAGTGACATCACTGTGTACCTCTGTGACATCACTGTGTACCTGTGTGACATCACTGTGTACCTCTGTGACATCACTGTGTACCTGAGTGACATCACTGTGTACCTGAGTGACATCACTGTGTACCTCTGTGACATCACTGTGTACCTGTGTGACATCACTGTGTACCTGAGTGACATCACTGTGTACCTCTGTGACATCACTGTGTACCTGTGTGACATCACTGTGTACCTGTGTGACATCACTGTGTACCTGAGTGACATCACTGTGTACCTCTGTGACATCACTGTGTACCTGAGTGACATCACTGTGTACCTGAGTGACATCACTTTGTACCTGTGTGACATCACTGTGTACCTGAGTGACATCACTGTGTACCTGAGTGACATCACTTTGTACCTGTGTGACATCACTGTGTACCTGTGTGACATCACTGTGTACACATCACTGTGTACACATCACTGTGTACCTCTGTGACATCACTGTGTACCTGTGTGACATCACTGTGTACCTCTGTGACATCACTGTGTACCTCTGTGACATCACTGTGTACCTGTGTGACATCACTGTGTACCTGTGTGACATCACTGTGTACCTCTGTGACATCACTGTGTACCTGAGTGACATCACTGTGTACCTCTGTGACATCACTGTGTACCTGAGTGACATCACTGTGTACCTGAGTGACATCACTGTGTACCTGAGTGACATCACTGTGTACCTGAGTGACATCACTGTGTACCTCTGTGACATCACTGTGTACCTGAGTGACATCACTGTGTACCTCTGTGACATCACTGTGTACCTCTGTGACATCACTGTGTACCTGTGTGACATCACTGTGTACCTGTGTGACATCACTGTGTACCTCTGTGACATCACTGTGTACCTGAGTGACATCACTGTGTACCTCTGTGACATCACTGTGTACCTGTGTGACATCACTGTGTACCTCTGTGACATCACTGTGTACCTGTGTGACATCACTGTGTACCTCTGTGACATCACTGTGTACCTGTGTGACATCACTGTGTACCTGTGTGACATCACTTTGTACCTGTGTGACATCACTGTGTACCTGAGTGACATCACTGTGTACCTGTGTGACATCACTTTGTACCTGTGTGACATCACTGTGTACCTGTGTGACATCACTGTGTACCTCTGTGACATCACTGTGTACCTGTGTGACATCACTGTGTGCCTCTGTGACATCACTGTGTACCTGAGTGACATCACTTTGTACCTGAGTGACATCACTTTGTACCTGTGTGACATCACTTTGTACCTGTGTGACATCACTGTGTACCTGAGTGACATCACTTTGTACCTGTGTGACATCACTGTGTACCTGAGTGACATCACTTTGTACCTGTGTGACATCACTTTGTACCTGTGTGACATCACTGTGTACCTGTGTGACATCACTGTGTACCTCTGTGACATCACTGTGTACCTGTGTGACATCACTGTGTGCCTCTGTGACATCACTGTGTACACGTCACTGTGTACCTGATTGACTGTGTACCTGAGTGACATCACTGTGTACCTGAGTGACATCACTGTGTACCTGAGTGACATCACTGTGTACTGTGTGGAGGCATGTGGTTCAGTGGGTTGAGCGTTGGTGTTCGGATCAGGGGAGCACAGGTTCAAACCCCACTGCAGTCAGCATGTCGTTGTGTCCCTGAGACACTTCACCCCAAAGTACTCCTGTGGGGATTGTCCACAGTATTGAGTATGTTAGTCGCTTTGGATAAAAACGACTAACATGTGACATGTGATGTAATGTAACATGTGATGTAATGTGTAGTAGGGCTGAGCGATATATCGTGTCATGGCAAAACCGCGATATGCGCATGCGCGATATTCACATCGCAGGGATGTGCGATTTTATTAAAATGTTTTATTAATATTCTTTTTTTTTCTTTTTTTTTAGGACGTGATATTAAGCAGGTAAATGAACTCTAACACGACATGTTACAATTATTTTGCTGCTTGCTACAAAAGGAAAACTTGCGCAGCTCTCATGTCAGGGGTACTTGAGTGAGTGACATGCAGGCTCTGCGTGCACAGCAAACCACCAATCACAATCAGTCTTGATCAGATCACAGCAGGCCCTGCCCCCCTAGTTTGCAGAACATCAAAACACAGGTAAAAAATGAGCGAGGCCCAGGAGGACAATACCGGAGAGAATGAAGATTTACTTCCAAAAAGATAAGCAACATCTGGAAGTATTTTGGATCCAAAAAGGTTCTTCTCTTCTTCACAGATGAACCCCCTAAAGCAACATGCACTATCATGACATGACTTAAGGTATGATGAGTCAACCAGTTCAGATCCAGACGTCCGTGACTAAAATCCTTCATCCGGTTAAATATAGTTTAAAAAACCGCAATATATATCACAGGGGGGAAAAATATCGCAATGTCCGTTTTTTTCAATATCGTGCAGCCCTACTGTGTGACATCACTGTGTACCTGTGTGACATCACTGTGTACCTGAGTGACATCACTGTGTACCTCTGTGACATCACTTTGTACCTGTGTGACATCACTGTGTACCTGTGTGACATCACTGTGTACCTGAGTGACATCACTGTGTACCTGTGTGACATCACTGTGTACCTCTGTGACATCACTGTGTACCTCTGTGACATCACTTTGTACCTGTGTGACATCACTGTGTACCTCTGTGACATCACTGTGTACCTCTGTGACATCACTGTGTACCTGAGTGACATCACTGTGTACCTGTGTGACATCACTGTGTACCTGTGTGACATCACTGTGTACCTGTGTGACATCACTGTGTACCTGTGTGACATCACTGTGTACACATCACTGTGTACACATCACTGTGTACCTGTGTGACATCACTGTGTACCTGAGTGACATCACTGTGTATTTGAGTGACATCACTGTGTACCTCTGTGACATCACTGTGTACCTGAGTGACATCACTGTGTATTTGAGTGACATCACTGTGTACCTGAGTGACATCACTGTGTACCTGAGTGACATCACTGTGTACCTGAGTGACATCACTGTGTACCTGAGTGACATCACTGTGTATTTGAGTGACATCACTGTGTACCTGAGTGACATCACTGTGTACTGAGTGACTGTGTACCTGAGTGACTGTGTACCTGAGTGACATCACTGTGTACCTGAGTGACATCACTGTGTACCTGAGTGACATCACTGTGTACCTGAGTGACATCACTGTGTACTGAGTGACTGTGTACCTGAGTGACTGTGTACCTGAGTGACATCACTGTGTACCTGAGTGACATCACTGTGTACCTGAGTGACATCACTGTGTACCTGAGTGACATCACTGTGTACCTGAGTGACTGTGTACCTGAGTGACATCACTGTGTACCTGAGTGACATCACTGTGTACCTGTGTGACATCATCAGGTGATGGCGAGGTCAGAGCGTGATGTCATCGACTTCTCGGCGCTGCAGAGCGAGCTGCAGGCGGCGGTCGAGTCGGAGCGGAAACACGAGAGAGAAAACAACGCCAAGCTGAGAGCCGTCCGTCAGGGAGTCTGCTACAGCCAATTCAGGTGAGACACACCTGGAGACACCTGGAGACACCTGGAGACACATGGGAACATGGTCGCAACCTGCCCACCATCTGACTGTGTGTGTGTGTGTGTGTGTGTGTGTGTGTGTGTGTGTGTGTGTGTGTGTGTGTGTGTGTGTGTGTGTGTGTGTGTGTGTGTGTGTGTGTGTGTGTGTGTGTGACAGAGAGCTGGTCCTGTGTTCTCACCTGAAGCCTCTGGAGAGGAGTGGGAAGCTGGCAGCGCCACGGAAACAGCCCTGGAACCCTGTCGCCCCCGGCAACAGCTGATGACCTGTGTCCCTGGCAACAGCTGATGACCTGTCGTCCCCGGCAACCAGGATCAACTGGACTGTTTACTCTGTTGTTGTGAATGTTGGTGTACTTTATATAAATTAATAAAATCAATTTGATTTCAAACTCAATTGAATAATCCCTTCAGTGTCTCAACAGGTCTAAACACTAAAAGTTATTATTATTTCCAGATTCAGTCCCCATCACAACTAATATCTATTATTCCTCAAAATGAAACCCTTCAATCTTTTTTCTCATGAAGCCTCTGTTGATATAATGCACAGTTATTATAGCAGCTGATCGAGGTTCACACAGCACCTCGTATGAATGTGCTGCATTTTTGTGGCCCTTCATCTTTGTGGCCCTTCAGCTGAAATGCTCCTCTCGAGCTCTGTTCCTAAATATCTATAGACCACCCAAATACTGTGCAAGCTTTTTTGATGACTTCACTGAACTGCTGTCTATAGTGTGTATTGACTTTGACCGTCTAGTCATTGTTGGTGATTTTAACATCCATGTTGACAACCCCCAGGACAGAGGGGCTAAAGAACTGTGTTCTTGATAACTATGGACTGCCTCAGCATGTGGCGGAGCCCACGCACAATAAGGGGCACACTCTGGACTTAATTATCTCAAAGGGTCTGAATATCTCAAAGGTTGTGGTGACTGATGTTGCACTCTCTGATCATTCCTGTGTTTTCTTTGAGAGCTCTATTTCTGTTCACGCAAATGTTCAGAAAGAGGTAACCACAAAGCGATATTTAACTGAAAATACTAGGGAAATGTTTACTCAGAATTTCTCATCCACACTTGCCCCTGCTAACATCTCAGTAAATGAGCTAGTAGATCATTTTAATTCAAAAATTAAAATGTTATAGATACCATTGCTCCAACGAAGGTAAAGGAAGTGACTGGCAAGAAAATATCTCCATGGAGAAAGGCCATGACCGTGAGAACAGAAAAAAGAGAGTGTGGAAAAGCTGAACGTAGGTGGAGAAAAACAAATCTCCAGGTTCACTTTGAAATCTATAAAGAGAGACTTGGCCTTTATCATTTGGAATTGAAAAACGCACGACAGTCTTTCTTCTCTGACATCATTACCAAAAACAAAAACAACGCACGTGCCTTGTTTGCTACCGTCGACAGACTAACTAACCCCCCAGTGTCAGTAGCCTCTGAACTTCTATCCACCAGGGCATGCAATGATTTTGCCTCCTTCTTCACTGACAACATTCAGAACATCAGACAAGCAGTCAGTGCCTCTGCATCAGGTACAGCAAATGTGTTGTCCCTATGTCCACCTAATATCAATTCAAACACCATGACACAATTCCATCAGATTAATGGTAAAAACTTAGAGGACATTATTCAACTTCTGAAATCCTCCTCCTGCTGCCTTGATATTATTCCAACAGGATTTTTCAAAGATGTTTTTCCTTGCATGGCCTCAGATCTACTTCATATAGTAAACACATCTCTTCACTCAGGTGTTTTTCCAGAGGCCCTGAAAACTGCAGTCATTAAACCGCTCTTAAAAAAGAATAATCTAGATGCTTCAGTAATGAACAATTACAGGCCCATATCAAACCTGCCATTTCTAGGTAAAATCATTGAAAAAGTTGTATTTCAACAGTTGAGTAACTTCTTGCATTTAAATAACTGTTTGGATGTGTTCCAGTCAGGATTTCGTCCAAACCACAGCACTGAGACTGCTCTTGTAAAGGTCTTCAATGACATCCACTTAAACACAGACAGTGGCAGAACTTCAGTGTTAGTATTATTAGATCTCAGTGCTGCATTTGACACTGTTGACCACAACATATTACTAGACCTAAAGGAACACTGGGTGGGACTTTCGGAAACAGTTCTAAATTGGTTTGAGTCCTACTTAAAGGACAGAAACAACTTTGTTTCTAAAGGTAAATACACATCTGAGTTGACAAATATGACATGTGGGGTACCTCAAGGCTCCATCTTGGGGCCTCTTCTCTTTAACATCTACATGCTACCACTGGCTCAGATAATGAAAAACAACAAAATAAGTTACCATAGCTATGCGGATGACACACAAATTTACGTAACAATTTCACCAGGAGATTATGCTCCAATTCAAACACTGAGTAAGTGCATTGAACAAATCAATGACTGGATGTGTCAGAACTTTCTCCAATTAAACAAAGATAAAACTGAGGTAATGGTTTTTGGAGCCAAGGCAGAACGTATAAAAGTTAGCGCTGAGCTTCAGTCTGCAATGTTCAAAACAACAGATAAAGCCAGAAATCTAGGTGTAGTCATGGACTCTGACCTGAGTTTCAACAGTCACATTAAAACAGTTACTAAATCAGCCTACTATCACCTAAAGAACATATCTAGGATTAAAAGACTAATGTCACAGCAGGATCTGGAGAAACTTGTCCATGCTTTTATCTTCAGTAGACTCGACTACTGCAATGGTGTCTTTACAGGTCTCACTAAAACATCTATTAGAAAGCTGCAGCTGATTCAGAACGCTGCTGCTCGAGTCCTCACTAACACTAAGAGAGTGGATCAGTCCTGTTCTGAAGTCTTTACACTGGTTCCTCACTAACACTAAGAAAGAGGATCAGTCCAGTTCTGAAGTCTTTACACTGGTTCCTCACTGACACTAAGAGAGTGGATCAGTCCTGTTCTGAAGTCTTTACACTGGTTCCTCACTAACACTAAGAAAGAGGATCAGTCCAGTTCTGAAGTCTTTACACTGGTTCCTCACTAACACTAAGAAAGAGGATCAGTCCAGTTCTGAAGTCTTTACACTGGTTCCTCACTGACACTAAGAAAGTGGATCAGTCCAGTTCTGAAGTCTTTACACTGGTTCCTCACTAACACTAAGAAAGTGGATCAGTCCAGTTCTGAAGTCTTTACACTGGTTCCTCACTGACACTAAGAAAGTGGATCAGTCCAGTTCTGAAGTCTTTACACTAGTTCCTCACTGACACTAAGAAAGTGGATCAGTCCAGTTCTGAGGTCTTTACACTGGTTCCTCACTAACACTAAGAAAGTGGATCAGTCCAGTTCTGAAGTCTTTACACTGGTTCCTCACTGACACTAAGAAAGTGGATCACATCAGTCCTGTTCTGAAGTCTTTACACTGGTTCCTCACTGACACTAAGAAAGTGGATCAGTCCAGTTCTGAAGTCTTTACACTGGTTCCTCACTGACACTAAGAAAGTGGATCAGTCCAGTTCTGAAGTCTTTACACTGGTTCCTCACTAACACTAAGAAAGTGGATCAGTCCAGTTCTGAGGTCTTTACACTGGTTCCTCACTGACACTAAGAAAGAGGATCAGTCCTGTTCTGAAGTCTTTACACTGGTTCCTCACTGACACTAAGAAAGTGGATCAGTCCAGTTCTGAGGTCTTTACACTGGTTCCTCACTGACACTAAGAAAGTGGATCAGTCCAGTTCTGAAGTCTTTACACTGGTTCCTCACTGACACTAAGAAAGTGGATCACATCACTCCTGTTCTGAAGTCCTTACACTGGTTCCTCACTGACACTAAGAAAGTGGATCAGTCCTGTTCTGAAGTCTTTACACTGGTTCCTCACTAACACTAAGAAAGTGGATCAGTCCAGTTCTGAAGTCTTTACACTGGTTCCTCACTAACACTAAGAAAGTGGATCAGTCCAGTTCTGAAGTCTTTACACTGGTTCCTCACTAACACTAAGAAAGTGGATCAGTCCTGTTCTGAAGTCTTTACACTGGTTCCTCACTAACACTAAGAAAGTGGATCAGTCCTGTTCTGAAGTCTTTACACTGGTTCCTCACTGACACTAAGAAAGTGGATCAGTCCAGTTCTGAAGTCTTTACACTGGTTCCTCACTGACACTAAGAAAGTGGATCAGTCCTGTTCTGAAGTCTTTACACTGGTTCCTCACTAACACTAAGAAAGTGGATCAGTCCAGTTCTGAGGTCTTTACACTGGTTCCTCACTGACACTAAGAAAGTGGATCAGTCCAGTTC